TTCGTGCTGGTAGTCGTGGTCATAGACGCCATAGCCACAGTTCAAGAAGATACAGACAGTGTGTTGTGCGGGCCCAAACTCACGTGACTGCAAACTATAGATCTTTTGTATACAAGGGCGTCGGTGTGTGCGCAGTACCAAGTTCTATTGCAATCCGCTTGTTGCTTGCTTCTCTGCAAGCTTCTCCGACAAGCATACAGTATGAAGGTTCTACTCAAGTCTGAGACGGCAGGTTCCCCTGGAGGGCTGGCTGCAGATCGTCCTGTTCGTCGGCCACTACGAGGGCTACTTCTGGCGCCAGGATCCCAAGCGCGCCCCGGGTGACTACGAAGGCTGCGGGGACCACCGCCCTCCTTGGGAGCATGATCGTTGTTGTTTTGATCATGAGTATGACTGTTGTCGTCATTGTCCTTGTCGGTAGCATTGCTATATATTGCTCTCATGGCTCATTCAATTCTAGTCACCATGTTGCTATCGATCATGGTAGTATATACCCGTGCTATCATCATGATTTCACATTGTGCATAAGTCGTCGTCGCCGTACGAGAGCCGCGCGGAAGGCTTCAAGCACGCTTCACTTAAAACCCGAACCCCGTAAACCGTAAACCACAAAGCCCAAAGCTCAGACCCCTGCCGTTTGAAGAACAAGAAACTAAATCTAGCAAACTCTGAAGAGGCTACGGCTTCCTGGGTGTGGGCAAGAACTTCATCGTCAATGTCGACCCCATCGAGTTCCAGGACGCTGAGGCAATGGAGTTCAGGGCTTCTGTGCTGCTAGGGTTAGGTTTTAGGGTGTTAGTGTTTTACCGGTTCGGGTTCCAGGGTCTGGTCAGGGTTTGGAGCTTGTAATTTCCATCCTTGGATGTGGGAGGCCATGTTGGAAAGCACACTCTACCCCGAAGCTAGTTGTAGTTTGGCCGCCATAAGCTGAAGCGCGATCCCGTAAATCGTTTGTGGCAGGTGAAGAAAACCAAGCTTTCCGCCGAGATTGCGAATGGACGATTGGCGCCTGGACTCCATCTCTTTGAAGTAATGTGTTGTGTTGAGATGGTAAGGCCCTAGATCCGTGCACATGCATCTGCGGAAGCAACAGTGATCACGACATATTGTAATATAGCAATGAAATTTAGTATACAATGCAATACAACACTACAGTATAGTGCGATACAGCATCTGGAGACTGCTTGCGACTGAATAGGATGACCTGAAGCAGCAGCAGGGAAGGACATGGACAGTGTTTCTTGGGTGCGACTCCACCCGCACAGTAAGACATATAGCAGGGGAAAGGAGCACAGCTCAGAAATCTGGTTGACCAAAACAGCACAAGCACCTTACCACAGGCAAGCACAACTTGCAAAATCCTAGTGCAGTTGGAGCAGGAGACTGCGGACTTGGAATCAGCAGAACCCGACCAGAAGTAGAAGCACGAGATGGAGCACAGGTGACGGTGCAACATGCGCACAGAGCAGCAACCTGATTAGTCAAAGAAGCACCAGAAAAGCACCAGCCGACCGCGTTGCGCCGGACACAGTTAAACCTGAGTACCAAGTGTTGAAAATGTTAGTGTCGGATTGCTTAGCAACAGCTTCGCCTTTTTCCCTAATGGTTTTGCATATGCACCCCAACCCCTTCACCCGAAATCAACAGAGTCTGGTTGTTCCGGCCTTTTTGTTACCGCCAACCCTGAACCCTAAACCCTAAACCCACTCTGAAGCCCGAAAGCCCAAGCCCTTTACCCACTACAGGCGATGGTGGCCCTGATGGCAATGCTTTTTCAGAACGGCACTGTGGGCTCCACCGGCCCTGCTTCTTGGAGCTAAGCATGCTCTATGATTGTTTAGGGCTTCAGACGCAGAATTCGAGGTAGACTACCAGGTCGCTAGGCGTCCGGCAGAGCCTAAAGTTAGAAGCTTCTTCGGTTTTGTGCTTGCAGTAACCTTCGTACTACCCCGAAAAGGCAACCCCTTGTAGGAAGCTGTGTCCTTGAAGCCCTGACCGAGGCCATGTGGCTGCCCGCAGCATGAGTTGCCTGAGCCCGGACGTTTGGAGGTAGACGCCCAGCCTCTCCTGGCGGTCCTGGGGCAGAAAAAGGATGATCGCAGCTGTCTCAGAAGCTTTGCATTGCAAGTGGGGTTGCGCGTCCAAAGCACATGGGACAAGGACGAAGATACAGACTCAAAATATAATATAATACAAATATAATATAATATAATATAATATAATATAATATAATATAATATAATATAATATAATATAGTATAATATAATACAATATAATATAATCGAGTCATTGAGTGAAAGGGCTTCAGGGGTTAAGATAGAAGCCGGCACAGTTCCCCCAGTATCATTCCACAGAGCTCCTTGTGAGAACTACGGTATGTATTATCATGAACCCAAGCCCTGTTTTCATTCGTAGAGGCCGTCGAGAGATCGGATCGAACTTCGAATGTTAGCATTTTTCGTGGATGTTCCCGCCCAAGCTGCTTCCGAAACTCATCGCAATGTGGGTTGGGAAAGGCTGAGAGAGCGCCTGGCTCAGATTCCATCGCCTTCGATTTCTTGTGCCTGAATCCTGGATTGTCAGCAACAATGTGCTCACCAAGTGCCCTTGCGGCAACATGCATCTCCTGTGGTTCCTGGTAGTCTCTCACTTGGAGACCAGATATCTTGACGATGCATGTTGTGCATGTCCCGCGCTTGTTGACAGACTAGGCTGCGCAAGCATGCGGAGGCGCTGCGACTGCCCTGGATGCAAGCAACGGCCACTTCTACGTTGGACAACATTCTCGCGACAACAGGCGTTTCGGAGCTCTCCAAAATAAAGCTCTGCTACAGGATTCAACGGAGCATAGCGATACACACGTTTCAACGTAGCTGTTTGCTTCGCATCTGACAGCAACGGTGCTTACTGTCAAGAAGATGGCTTGGAGGCGTGGCCCCATCTTGCAACGGCAAGCTAGGGGCGACAACTCTTTTCGACAGCACAGCTTGTTTTGGCGAGGCGTGCTTCAATGTTATGTCTGAAGATGCTTTTCTGTGACTTACGGCTTTTTGCCTGCTGGCAAAACAAGCTCGGTCTTTGCCGCACCCTTTTGCCACCGCGCGACTCGACGATTTTCAATGAGGCGCCTATGAGGCTCACTGTGTTCGCCCGAACCAAGCCGCCCTGTCACATTTTGCTTGCCTTCCCTCCGATTGTAAAGTGTGCTTTTTACCTGTTGTTTCGGGAGTGTCCGGAAGATGACCTAGACTAGACAAGCGAAGTCTTTTGCGGCCACTTCGGCCATGCAAAAGACTTGGGATTGGTGTGTTCTCGTCCCAATCCGAATTTCAGGTTGCTGGTCGCAGAAGCGCTCGACAGAACCTGACACGACTGCAAGCTGCAGGAGCCACAGGAACCTGGGAGCATGGACGGCAGAAGGGTAAGCTCCTTCTGTGTACTTTTGAGTTTGAGACGCGGCAAAGCATTTTTGTCGCAACCAGCCAACCGGGGCAAAGATTCCGAACGAATGTCCCTTGTTGTGACTTTGAGCATAAAGTGGATGAAACCAAACCAGGTCAGATCGCTTGAACAGGCGCCAGTCCATAATTGTCAGGCGGCTTGCTTTTGCAACATCCGCGTCTGTGTTTACGCTGGACGCACTCGCGAGCTCGCAGGGGTGCATCTGTTTCTGTAGCCGTGTAACAACGTCAAGTTGTGAGATGGCGGCCATCCGAGTTGGCACCGCCAGAGGGCAGGCCGGCTTGCCGAGATGTTGACTTGGTAGGCCCGGCATGACGGGGCGGTCTCCTGCAACTAGGACGTTTGCGATGCAGCCTTCATACCTTCAGCGGCGTGGAGCCAGCGTTCGTGCCGCGTCTCACTTAACACTGCAGTCTGCAATGCAGCCGCTGGCGCTTCCGGTCCGTCGGAAGTGCTTCTGGCTCCGCAACCACCCTCAAGAGATTGTACATGATGCTAGTTTGCACCATTGGCTGAGATTTATGACTATTTATGCCGTGTCTATGTGAGTTTCGTTATTTCATTTTCCAGACGGACCCTTTTTTCCGAAGCGCGAGTCACACCGCATCGGCGGCTAATCCCTGCGCGCGGCACCACAGGCAGCCGCATCAACTTACCTTTGGCCCAGAAGTGGCGACAAAACATGCAGTTTTTCGTGTGGCACACTTGTATTCAAAGGGACAACTCTTTGCTCCCATTTCTTGAACGGATCGACCTCGAGGATCTTCACAAGTCGATCGGCTAAACGTTTGCACGTTCCGTCCGCGTTTAGGTACAAGTACCGAGTTCAAGGATAAACTTATCCCAACAGGCCTAACCCCGAATTTTCTTAGATTATCTGTTGCATTCAGTCTGCGAGAGACGATTGGGAGAGGTCGGTGCGCAACCGCAAGGAAACTTGCATCCACCAGCTTCTGCAGGCAGTGTTTTTTTCCGCTGATATTCGTTGCGGTGGTGTCGCTGGCAAAGCTTAGTTTCATCCCCAGGGCAGGCTAGGCCGCAATTCTTTGCCCAGGAACGACCACTCCTGTACAGTTCCACCGCGAATTTGTTCTTAGCACCAGCTCGTGTCTTGTTAGGAACACCTCATGCCCCCGACCTGGGGTCTGCCCAGGGACAAAAAAACTCACGTTTCATCCTGATGACAGGCTTGTTGCTTCTTTGGGCGACCTCTATGTGATCGCGTCGCCCTTGCACCAGGGCCGCCCTTGACATGACGAGTGCACACAGTTGAGGACCGGTGCGGCATCGCCTCCAACCTCAGCAACACCCATGTCATCCCTGCTGAGGGTGGCCCGGCTTCGACGATGTGTGGTGTGGAGAAAGCCCTGACCCTCGGCGAGAGGTGTTGTCGTCCTCGGTTCGCCTGTGGGGCACCCGGCCTTCGTGCAGCCATAGGCTGAGGAGGGGTTGCAGACGGAGTTTGCGGCACTCGGCGACCTACCAATTCGTACTGGAGCACCAGCAGCATGCCCAGCATATTGTTGTTACACCATCTCCACACACCTTGTGCTGCTTGGCCACTGCATACACAGCAAATTCCAAAACGTGCTTGGGTGCGCTATATGATTTCTGAGATCAATTAAGATAGAACGTCACCACCACAGGCCTCGTAAGTCGTGTTTCACAGTGTGCATAGCCTGTATCCTGTATCCTTTAGTCTCAGCACATTCCAACGTACACCTGGGTGCGATTTCTGTTTTCATAAAATAGCACACACAGAACGTCACCGCTCGGGCCTCGGAAGTCGTGTATGCCGTATCCCTAGCAAATTCTGGGTCCGCTATGTGATTTCATCGATCAGAGTATACATATAGAGCATCACCGCCACAGGCTAGCCACAGGCCTCGGAAATAGTTTATGCTGTATACATAGCAAATTCCAAAGTGCACGTGGGCGTGCTTTGTGATTTCCTAGATTGTTGTACACATAGATCGTCACCGCCACTTGCCTTGGAAGTCGTGCATGCTGAATACATAGCAAATCTGAAAGCTGTGATTCTTAGCTCAAAGACAGAACGCCACCGCCACAGGTTTCGTAAGTCGTGTATCACTGCATCACCATGTTTCTTGTGCTCCTGTATCCCAAGCAAATTCCAAAGCACACTTGGGTGCGCAATGTGGCATCATAGGTTGAATCACACCTGAGACGTCACCGCTTCAGGCCTTGGCAGTCATGTATGCGGTATAGATAGCAAGTTCCAAAGCGCACCCAAGTGTACTTGGGTGCACTGTGTGAGTTCTCAAATCAAAGATAGAACGTCACCGCCACAGGCCTCGTAAGTTGTATATCATTGTATCAACGTGTATCCTGTATACTGTACCCCTAGCATTCCCTAGCAAATTCCAACGCACACCTCGGTGTGCTATATGATTTCATGGGTGCACTATATGGTTTCTTAGATCAAGGATAGAACGCCACAGGCCTCGTAAGTCGTGTATCATTGTATCAAAGTGTATCCTGTATCCCGTGTCCCGAGAAAATTTATAGTTCAAAATACACATAGCTCGTCACCGCCACAGGCACCGGAAATCGTTTAGGCGGTTTACATATCAAGTCCCAAGCGCACCTGGGTGTGCTTTATGATTTCACAGATTGTTGTACACAAAAAACGTCACTGCCACTGGCCTTGGAAGTCGTGCATGCTGAGTACATAGCAAATTCGAAAGCACACCTGGGAGCACTGTGTGATTTCATAGAGCAAAGAACACATAGAATGTCACCGCCACAGGCCTCAGAAAATGTGTCTGCTGTATCCGTAGCAAATTCCAAAGCACGCCTGGGTGCGCTATGTGACTTGGTAGGCTAAAGGAAACATAAAAAGCATCATTGCCAAAGGTTTCGGAAGCCGTGCGTGCTGTATACGTAGCAAATTCCAAAGCGCACCTGGGCGCGCGGTGTGATTTCAAGTACACATAGAATGTTCGCGCCCCATCCAGGGCGGCCGGGATCACCGCTTGGCCTTTGTGATGCGGGTTCCTTTTTGGCGGGCGCAAAACAGCGTCAGACAAAGAACAATGATGCCCGAACGCGGCCCATTTAAGTTAGTATCGCCAGCGTGCTTCTGACTGTCGGGGGGGTAGATTGGTCTCTGATTAGTCCCTGATTTTTCATTGATTGGTCCCGGATTGGTCTTGCAATGGCCTCGGATGTATACAGCACGCACGTCTTCCGAGGCCTGGCGGTGACGTTCTATGTGTTTTTATCTTGGTCTGCGAAATCAGACAGCGGCCCGGGTGCGCTTTGGAGTTCGCTATGTATACTTCCGAGGCCTGTGGCGGTGATGTTATATGTTTACCGTAATCTACGAAACCACATAGCGCACCTAGGTGCGCTTCTGCATCTGCCATGTATACAGCATACACAACTTCCGAGGCTTGTAGCGGTGGCGGCATCGGCCTTGTGTCGTGCGAGCGGGCGCGGGAGCTGCACCATCAGTGCCGAATCTGCCGATGGCGCGCGGAAGCGGCGCATGCACGTCACACTGACAGGACCGACTGGAGCTGCGCCCGCATGGTTGGCAGTACCGCGCATCGCGGACTCTTACCGCGATCGTGTGCTCCTGCTCTCATTGGAACGGAGTTCGCCACCCAGTTCGCGCGCACGTCCCGGCCCCCAAGCAGGACCGCATCAGCCTCACAGGCGAGATAGGCGCAGACGCGCAGTCACTGCGGCATGCTGCGGCCCCGGTCGCACCAGCTCAGAGCAGGCCGTGCGCTTGCACCTTCCTGCGACATCGGTGGCGCAAACATATGGGGCCGTCTCTCGTGTGCCAGAAGCGACATGGGTGTGACGTCACAACACAATGCCTCGCCAAGCCGGGTAGCCCCGTACACGACGAAGTCAAGGCGGCGGCGACGGTGGCGGGGTCGACGCCGGCAGCGGACGTGCGCGCCAGCCATTGTTGTGGCACGCTTTGGCACTCGGTTCCTATGCGCACGCGTGCGTGCTGAAGGGGCTTTGCTCGGCGGGCGAGCAGTCCAGCGCGAAAGCACGCGGCCTGGTGGTCCCCGTGGGCGTCCACGGCAGCATCGCTACCGTGCACGAGCGCGCCACCTCCGTCCGGCAGGACCGGCAAGGGCATCCGCAGCCGCCGCCGCAAGGCTATGAGCATGCGGTCGGGCGGCAGAGTGGAGCCAGTCTGGTTGAGGATGGCATTGAGCCACGCGGCAGCAACAGCTCGGTCTCGCGAGCGAAGCCAGTTCGTTGGTGGCGAGGTCGCGCGCACGGTCCAGTGCCGGGCCGTCGCTCGGACCAGGTAGTGGAGCAGCCAGCCACGCACTGCCGCGGCGCGCGCACCGCTGGCGGCGCGGGACGAGCTCGGAGCCGGACTAGGTCGCGAACAAAACGCTGCGCAGCAGTGTTCCATCGGCCCCCTGGGCCCAGGACCAGAAGCTTCTGCGGGGCGAGTTCTGGAGTGCTTGCGTCGCTCCGTGAACTTTATTCAGTGGGGCGCCGCCCACCTCCACTTTCCATGTATGCGGGTGACCATTTCTTGTAAGGGAAGACCCTATGTTGCGTCGCAGCACAGCGCTCCTCTGTTGGCAGTGGCCCCGTAAACGACGAGGTCAAGGCTGCTGTGGTCGTCGTCTGGGCGAGCCATTGCTGCGGCACAACCTGACCGTCGGCTCCGACGGCGTCTCGAGGGCATGGTCGCCGTAAAGTTTCCATGGCGCCACCGCATGCTGGGTTGGTGGCGTGGCTGGAGTAAAGAGGCGGCCGCAGGGGCCTCGTCGCGCGGTACTCGTATGGCGGTAAGCCATGCGGCGGGCGCTGGAGCTGCCAGGCAAGTTGGCTACGCCACTGGTGGGGCTTCTTGAGCGTGGCTTTGCAAAGCGCATGTGCTGCCACGCTCTTCGGGGTGGGTGCTTTACGTCATGCCATCTCGTGGTCGGCATCCACACCGGCGGCAGGTTCGAAGCAGTGCAGCTCCCGCGCCTCCTCGCCCGCCATCGCGCGGCCTCCGTTCCGGCCCACCTGCGACCGGCCGTTGCGGCACAGCGCGCCTACGCCGCCACACTCCTCCTGCAGCCGAGTTGGGCGAAGGACCCGTGCCCGACTTGCATGAGGTCCTCGCCACTGCGCGCTGGGACTGATGCAAGCTGTGCCCCCGCGGCCGTGACTCCTCACTGCAGGCGCAGAAGGGCATGGAAACAAAAAATACAACTTAGTGCCCATTCCAGCCCTGGAGGATGCGCTGCATGGCGCAGGCTCTGCTAGCCCAAGCCGCCTTGGCCCGAAAGGCGCCTTTTCACAGGGACCACAGGACTGCCTCTTCGTGGACTTGGAGAAAAAAAAAGGCGTGGGAGGCAATCGGAACTTCCGGGTCGTATCCCAACAAGAGACAGCTAGAAAGCCCCAAAACTTGTAAACCCAAACCCACAGACCCTCGACTCTAAAATGCTAAACCCAGAACCCCTAATACCCCCGAAGCCCGGAAACCCACAAGTCGGAACCCCTGCACCCCGAAAACCCAGAAGCCCGCAATGCAGAAACCCCGACAGCAGGAGGTACAGCGCCGGCATAGCCAGTGCATACACCGGGGCGTCGGAACGTAATTCGATGGCAGGTCGGCCATATGCCCGTCGAATCAGCAGCACACGTTTAGGAACACTGAGAATGTCCGACAAGGGTGGGGCCGGCGACTTGCGGATCACTGCAGCATACTGCAGCAGTATGGGCACAGCCGGGTGACCCGTGACGTGGCGCTGTTGCGGCCACTATGCATGCTGCTGTGGTTATGTCAGCATCGATGTTACCCGGTGCGCGACATTGCCGGAAGCTGGGAGCAGCCATGCCCAAGGCCGCCCCTTTCAGATTCTGCGACCCAGTCCGGGCGGTGGCGATCGTTATTTCGATGCCAAAGGGCTGCATCAAAATTCCCGGTTCAAACATTTTGCCAGCAGCTCGCTGCTGGTGTGTGAGTGCGTGTGTGTGTGTGTGCGTGTGCGTGTGCGTGTGCGTGGGTGGTAAAGTTTGTGGCATTGTGTCGGTGAATGAAAAGTATATAAGTGCAGATCTGGGGTTTAGCTCTCTTGGCAATTTTCGGCCCACAGGTGTAGTCTTAGAGTAGAACCCATGGCGGCCGGGTCCCCGCGTTTGACGCAAGTCTTAACCAGCAAGCCTGTTGAGCCGCACCAAGTGGATGCATCTTGGCCAGTAATTACACGAATGCATGTCGATGGCAACATCATTCCTTAGCACCAACCGTTTTGCTTAGATTGGGGTCCTCATGTACCATCATGTACCATCGTTTCACTTAGGGTTTAAGTTTTGATCAGCTCGTTCACATCATTTCGGACCTGCACAACCATTTCAGCTGTGAAACATGCGTCAGTTCATGCCTGGATTGCGAGTTGTCTAATGATGGCCTTGCTGATGCAGGATCTTCCGCAAAGTAATTCCCCATGTTCGAGACGGGGGGCAGCGACCTCGCCTTACAAACATGTTTCCTCCACGCCACTTGGCGTGCATCGCTGTTCCTCTTCGGCACGACATGGTTTCTGCACCAGAGGTTCCAATCAATGATGGACCAGCTTGCGCACCAGCATATCAAGGACGACGCTGAATGCACGAAAGAAAAGAAAAAGTGCTTTCGAGAAACCCTGATGTGCACGCAGACCTCACTGAGCCTTGCCGGTTGTTTGCAATTGCCACAGTGGGGAGGAGATGGCAGCAATAGCATCCGTGATGGAGCCGCAGCAGACGGAGTTTGAAACCTCGATGCAGTCCAAAACCACGATGCAGAGCATGCCCATTGAACCTCGGAACAGTCGGGATAGTCATCGCGACAGTCATCGGGACAGTCGTCGGGACACATGGCTGGCACTTCATCCGTTATGGACCATCAACTCCAGATGTCAGGAACACATCATGTTCTGATGTCGTTCGTGCCGCCCAGGACTCCCACTCGTCCAAGAACGACGACGACAGGAAGCGTCCTGTGTTGGCCAGGAGTGGAACGGTGGCCCAGGTGATGGTCAAGCATCACCAAGACATCCCAGAAGTGCACGCAGACGAGATCCTCGAGGCTCTGGAAAGGAACGCAGCATGGCAGCAACGACTCTCTTCGGCAGGGTTGCCTGTCCTATCTTTTCCTCGCAAATCTGTCAGGCAAGTGAGGAGGTGGTCCAACCAGAGAGCCTCAGAAGTATGATTCAGTTTAGGTGGGCACATGCGGGTCATGTTTCGATGCTCGCGTGTGCTGCACGAAAGTTAAACTGAAACTTGTACACAACATGTGTGCTTGCGTCCTTGCTTCCTTTGGAGCACTGGCGCAGGCAAAGCCCTACCGTTTTGGACAAGGATCCTGTGCTCGAAACAGTGCCGTTCCATGAATTGGTAGCTTTTTGCACGAGCTTTTTTGCGTTGAGCCTACGGACGCATCGCGCAGGGCTGCGCCACGAATGTTCACGGATGATGTGTGTGCTTTCGGCATCATGTGTGCGCAAACTGAGGATTCAGAGTATGTTCGGAGGATGAGCCGAATGACCCGCCTTGAGAAGGTGCAGCGCAGTTTGCAATCCCCGCAGCGGCTCTTCTGCGTTAAGGGCCTGCAGGGTTTAGCAAAGTAATAGCAGTTACTTATGACTAATGAACTTAAACAGATACGAGGACGATTGCCACTGTAACAGCTGTGTCGCCTCGAGTTGCTCTTGACTTCCCATAAGTTTGGGCTGCTATTTTCGGGAGGCGAGAGAAGCAGCACATGTTGAGAATGTTGCAACTGTTTTGCTGCACTTGAGGTATGAGATGTTCATGGCATTGGTATTGTGCTTCAATGCTTCTTGGATGCTCGACAGTGCTTTGTCTTTTGAGCGAGACTCATCTTCACATGTAGCTATGAAAAGAACCTGGAGGTCGGAATGAACCAGCCGGCACTTTGTGGTAATTCTTTGAGTATGTACAATATGATAGTATGCTCAAAAGGTGAGAGCGGGTCGACAGCCAAGGTTGTTTGGATGGCGATCGAGTTGCAGCTAGAAGGTACAGTCACAGGACAGGAACTCAATTTTTGGCAAGGACCGAGGGCGTCGCCGCGTGAAAATGGGCATACCCCTTGAGCACGAGCGGAGTTCCATGGCATGTGTGTTCATCGGAGGGCGGTAAGTGCATCAGATCGAGCCCCGAGGATCCACGTCCGCACTCAGTCAGAGCCGTCCCGTTTGGGATTCTGTTCTTCTCATCGGGGAGATTTGCTTCACGTCGTTCTTCGCGCTGGATGTCGTTTGCCGAATTTGCATCCTGGGCAGCTTGTTCTGGAAAATTTGTCTGAACTACATTGACGTGGCGGTCAGCATCACGTCCATCGTCGAGCTGTCCGTGACTGTGGCCATGCTGCACTTGGTTCATGGGTAGTTATAAGTAGGGTTATAAGTAGGGTAACTATACTTATAACCCATATTAGGGGACTTATATAACCCCACTTATAACTACCCATGAACCTCCAAGCAAGCAACAGGTGAAAGCATGTAAAACATTATGAGCAACGATAGTCGTTATCGAAGCCACACACGCCTCCGATTTGCAACCGCAGCGATGCAAATTGCGGCAGCCCATGTGAAGCCTGCGGGGCCCCAGTCCACATGTTACGGATGCAGGCAGTTCTGTTTTGATTAGAGATCCTTTCGGTTTGATTGTAGCCCTCAGCGCATCATCCGCAGGAATCCGCAGGACCACGGCAAAGCTTTGGAGGAGTTTAGAGCGATATTTGCCAATTTCGTACTGCGCGGATCTTGCTTTTGCCTAGTCTCTGATTTCCTTAGAATAGGATGGGGGCCAGAGCTTGAAGCGTTGAATCCGGAAGAATGGCTTCCAGCAGCCATAACCCCGACACACCCAAACGATCCTACAGCTTAAGCTCATCCCTGCTGGGCCTGGGTCCTAAACCCTCCTAAACCCTAAACCCTAGACCCTAAACCCTAAACCTAGGACACTTAAAGAACAACCTAGGTCTCTTCACAGCTGCCTGTGAGCCCCGTGTTGTTCCGGCTCCTGCGCCTGGGGAAGCTTGCACGCGCCATCCGCGTCGTGTCAATGCCTCTTGCCGTCAGGTCCAAGTACACTTGTTGATATTACTGGGCGCGTGTATTATCTAAATCGGATTCGTAGTAGTATCATGATGGTTGTATTATGGTTGTGGTTGTTATTGTAGTTGTGGTTGTGGTGGTTGTTGGTGT